AGGTCATTTAGTCCAACTCTTCTGCAGTGAACAAGAACACCTGCAGGTAGATCAGATTGCTCAGAGCCCCATCCAGCCTGAACTTGAATGTGTTCAGGAAATCCACCACATCTCTGGGCTACCTGTTCTGCACCTTGCACCCTCATTGTAAAAAAACACTTCTTAATATCCAGTCTAAATCTATATCCCCTCTTTTAGTTTGAAAGCATTTTCCCTTGTCTTATCTTTAGCAGACTCTGCTAAAGAGTCTGTCCCTTTCTTTCTTATAGCTCCTCTTTAGATACTGAAAGGCTGCTATTATGTGTCCCCAGAGCCTTCTCTTCTCCAGGCTGAACCTGGAGCCCCAGCTCTCTCAGCCTATCCTCACAGCAGACAAGTGCCATCCCTCAGATCATTTTGTGGCCCTCTTCAGGACACACTCTATCAGGTCCACGTCTCTCCTGTACTGAGGACTCCACGTCTGGACACAGTACCCTAGGTGAGGTAAGTAGAGTAAAGGGACAGGATCACCTCCCTCACTTCTTTAGATGAAGACCAGGGTACGGTTGGCTTTCAAGGCTACAAGAGTACACTGTTGGCTCATGCTCAGCTTGCCATGCACCTGTACCCCTAAGTTCTTTTCAGCAGGCTTGTACTCTATCCTTACATCCCGTTTGTACTGATAGCAGCATCTGCCCTTTGGGTGTGTTGGCTACACCACATGTAAATCCTAGGCATTCTTCCTCTTGTCTGTCTTATACTTTTTTTTTTGTTTGTTTGTTTTGTTTTGTTTTGTTTAATACAACACTAAAACGTTTAGCTGCATCCTAAACATGTGCTTACCCATTTGTCTTCACTTCCAGTTCTACTACGGAAAATAAATTTGAAATTTTAATTATAGATTCTAATTTTCTACTGAAACTGAAATAGAAATATTGAATACTATAATTCACAGAATCACAGAATCACCCGGGTTGGAAGGGACCCCAAGGATCATGTAGTTCCAACCCCCCTGCCTAGCAGGGCCACCAAACATACACATTCAGATCAGGTTGCCCAGGACCCCGTCCAACCTGGCCTTAAACACGTCCAAGGACGGGGCATCCACAACCTCCCTGGGCAGCCCGTTCCAGGGCCTAACCACTCTCCTAGTAAAGAACTTCCCCCTAACATCCAACCTAAATCTTCCCTCCTTCAACTTAAAACCATTTCCCCTAGTCCTGCTGTTATCAGCCCTTTTGAAGAGTTTACTCCCCTCATGGGTGTAGGTTCCCTTCAGGTATTGATAGGCTGCAATGAGGTCACCCCGCAGCCTTCTCTTCTCCAGGCTGAACAAGCCCAACTCCCTCAGCCTGTCCTCATAGGGGAGGTGCTCCAGCCCCCTGATCATCTTAGTCGCCCTCCTCTGGACCCTTTCCAAAATCTCAATGTCTTTCTTGTACTGAGGGCTCCACACCTGGACACAGTACTCCAGATGGGGCCTCACAAGAGCCGAGTAGAGAGGGACGATCACCTCCCTGTCCCTGCTGGCCACCCCTCTCCTGATGGAGCCCAGGATCCCATTTGCCTTTTGAGCTCCATACATGCCTATGGTGCAGATCCCTCTGATTAATGATTTGCTCCTCTCGCTTATGAAAGAAAGGCACGTGTCATTCTAAATCTCAGATATATTGCACTTCATTCTTCCACATCTATCTTTGAGCATGTTCCAGGATGGATTTTAAAGTTTCATGGAAGATGGTGTCACTTACATGCATTCATTTACTCTTTTGCATATAAATACCATCAGCCTTTGCTGCAGAAGTGGGCAGATCAACAGTAATAAAAAAAACCTTTACCTTTTAAATTTATTTATTCATGTTGGGTCTCTACTGGTCTCTATTACTCTCAGAACTCTTTGCCTGATCTAATGCTAATGATGACAGAGTATAACAAAAGTAGCACTTGGATAATTTTCAGATGCATAGACATTACAACTGAAGGGTTTCAAAGAAAGGCTGTGAATGTCTAACCAAAACTAAACTAAAAGACATAGGCAATATTAATGAAATAAAATAGACCACATAAGAATTGCAACAAACAGTTTTCTTAGAACTGCTTCATCCTGTAGATATAGTATACTGTTAATGTCAGTGCCATATAAGCATAGGAAGCTAGTGGCCTGGAAACTTGCCACCACGTGGCTAAAAATTTCAGTTACGCAGTTCGAATGGCAGCAGCTGCTTTAAATTTAAAGGGCAAGAATTAAACAAACCGTGACTTCAGTAGGAGACAAACGAGCCCCAAGTTTGCTTCTTCTATCCTTTTTCTATTCAGCTTTTCCTGCATGGCTCCCTGTACTGAGTTTCTGTTCTTACAGATCTTAATGTGTCTCAAAACCACTCAGAAAATGATGCTGCCAAATCCAATGGCCAATTGTTTTCAGAAAGGGGATATTGTTCCCCTTTGGACATAACTGTAGCCTCATCTTCACTGCAGCCAGCACTTTCCAAGCCTGTATTTTGCTCTGTTGTAGTACATCCAATGTAATCATGTTTAGTACTTTCCAAACAACAAAGCAGATGTTCCCTGTAATGCAGTTTTTGAAGAATGCACAAGAGGCTCAAGCCAGTGACAGTGTAATCCACCAAATGCCTGCAGAGGAATCCACATTGCCTCTGACTAACAAGTTTTCTTACTGAAGTCATTTTAGGGGATGCCAACATTAAGGATAAAATATGCAGAAAAAAAGGCCAGATACTGCCTTGAGGGACCTGTTTGTCAATGCACCAGAAAATACTCAATGACTTCTCCCAGAATTGGTGGAGAAGAAGTGCACATGTGTAAAATATACCTTTTGCACTTTAAGACATTTTACCAGCAAACTGTTTCAAATTAAACTCAGATGAGTAATGGTAAAGCAATGAGGTTTTCCTTGGGTTCAGTAAAAACAGCTGGTATTGCTGTTATTAATCATGTATGTGTGCATTAAAAGCTCTTGTGTGTCTGAGAAAAGCGTCTCAGTCAGGTAGTAGCCATGTACAGCAGCCTTTGGGACCTCTGCCTATAGAAAAAAAAACACACCAGACTGCTTTCTGCCATTGTATCCCTGCATGTTACTTCTATTAGAGTACCTTTATCCTGATGGCGTCATGATTAATACTTTAACAGTTAAATGCCTCCAAAGTAAATATATTCTTATATTTGTGAATAACAGAACTTCATGATGCATAGATGTTCACCCAGCAGCACTCAGTATGCTATCTGCAAGACCAGTAAGCTATAAGAGTTCTTGCAGCAGCTCCAAATAAAGCAAACCTTAAAACATCATTCTGAAAAGTACTGTGTGCATATCCACCACTTTACGATAAGAAAGGGCTTGTGAGGACTCTAGGAATTTCAGACCCAGAGTTTGCAAAATACATTTATTCCTTAATACTAATAACCCAGAGCTGTGAGTTTGTTTCAACCAGATGTGACTGACAAGTCAGCATAGCCTACATGGGAAAGTCATGAAACCTACATGGGAAAGTCATTTCTGATGTGACTGTACAAGTATTTGCTCTCTCATTAATAATTTATTTTTGCAAAAAGGAAAACATTAAAATGCCTTTCACATTTATTTTCTGCTTAGCCTTCTGATAATGTATTTTAAGAAAAAGCTGAAAATCACTGTTTTTTTAACTTCTGTATTCTCTCTCTACCATGTGTACAAAAAATCATGTTCTAAGGTATATGAGTTACAAAGAGGCTGCATGAATTAAACTTTGTACCTCTCCCACATATCAGTCATCACCAGAGGTGAACTGTGAATACTAGAATTTATAGTCTTTATCTCCCACTTGCTGTGAGTCAACTGCTTGGAGCCAAACATTAGCTGTGTTACAACCACTGGGTTTACACAACGCTGTTTTGTTTGTATACCTAGGTGGAGGAGTTTCAGACTTTCTCATTTTGAAGCATGGAAGAATGGCTGCATGAAAATGGAATAGAAAAGTGTAATTTTTTTTCACAGAGAACACAAAAGGCTGATTCACAACTGCTCAGAGTGGTTAGCCTTGCCATGGTTAGCAAAGGGCAAGTTCTTCATTCAGTGTAGCACACTGAAGACACACAGATGTGCATACCCATGTGTTTTATCAGCAAGGAACTGATGGCACTCACGATGACACACAGGAGATACTCTAGAGGGCCTCAAAATTCCAGTACTACTTGCTCTCCATTTGATGCATGAATGTCTCTACATTGAAGAATATTTTTATTACATCTTTTCTTTTAGATTAAGCTCTAATTAATATGTGGGTTTACATCTCAATTTACATCTCAATCAGAACCAAATACTTTTGAGCTCTGTCTCCAAAACAACTCCTTCCTTGCAAGAGGAAAGATATGTCATTCTGCCTATCACTGAAGGCCAGGAAGGCATGCAATTCCTCGTGTCTTAATAGCCACTGTATTAGCAAAACTGGGTGGGATTATTTAGATGTGGAGCAGTCTGGAAAGCAAGCAAGTCTACATTCATTAATAATCCCGAACAGCAGGATGCAAATTGCTAACACCATAAGTCATAATCACGTTCATAAAGCTTAAAGACAATGGTAGTAGAGAATTACTATTCTGTCTGATTTTTATTGCTAGTGAAGAAAGGATAATAATATAGGAGAGAAATGAAAAATAAATGCAAATAGTATCTAGAAACACATTTTCTTTCAGCTTGTTTCCTTCTGTAACACTGAGCCTGTTACTTTTCACTTCAAATTTTCCAGCCATCTAATAATTGCTGAACTACACAAGACTATTAAAATCAACTAACTTCTGTTTTAAAGATGATTTACAGTCTACTATTCTACAGATAAAGTCTGAGTTTGACATCTCAGAATTCATTTCCACTTAATTTTCTCCATTTCTCTCCCAAAAAAATGATTAGCTTGTGTCTGTTAGCAAAGCTACAGTAATGACTTGACTGATCTTCTCTGATGCTGCAATCTTACTGCAGTTCCTGCAGGCTGACTGGACTGTGAAATTGCATTGTCATACTATACCTGTTGGCCAAGAGCTGTGATCTGGTTCCAGAAGGAGAGGTTAGGTAAATTGCCAGGTCTCCACGTCGAGGGTGAGTAATAGTGATGCGCACAACAACGTGCTCCAAGTAGATCACGTGGTGATTAGGATTATCAGAACAGCCTGTGGCTTTGTAAATTGAACGGACGACACTGTCAGGTCTTATTGTTCTACAATGTAAGCATATAAAACAATATCAGCACTTCTTCCCTATCCTGTAAAATAAGACAACCCAATCATTTCAGCTTAGTACCGAATGTCCTTAGTTTTAACACTTTACTTCCTAGCTGAAACTATCACTACGGGGTAATTATTTTACTGCAGCTACTGGCAACTGCCATGCTTTCTGTTGAAGGCTACACTGATACGACCACATGCTGAAAGAGAGCTGTGAATAACCTGTAATGGAATAAGTCTCTGGGTCAGAGCATTTTTGCAGATTAGTGGCCAGCTGAGAATTGTTGGGATTGTCATGGGATCACAGCTGCTTGTTAAGCCCCAGGAAATGCCTGGCATAGACACAGTCCTTGCTTACGTAATAGCAAATATTACATGTTAACTGTAGCAAATATTGGGCAACCAGTATCTGAATCAGCTAGTTAAAACTGGCATGGCATCCTTGCGGACTATACCAGTTATGGGTCAAGTCTGTCAAACATACCTATCAAACAAAGTATCTTCAATGACCTTAATGCACTGGAAATGAACCACTAGACAGGATATAGCCACAGAATGCACACACTGAATTTTGCTCTTAAGCCTGGTTCTATACACACCCTATCCTAGAAAGCAGAGGGCAGTTTGGTCTTATCCTCTGAGACAGACTCTCCTGAGACTGTTTGAGAGAGATACTATCAGGTAATTTATTAATGAGAAGAGTATCTTCCTGCCAGACCTTGACTGATAAGTTTGCACTCATCTTACAAAAATGAATGCAGTATTGTTGAAGTGAACATTCTTCCCCTTACATATTCTTCTACTTCTGCAACAGCATTGATCACCATCAAATCTGGCTTGTTTTGTACCTTCAACCTCTGGGACATTCTTTAAATTAAGGCCTTTATCCAGTCATTAGAGGAAGCAACCTTTAGAGGCAAATGACTTGATATCTTAGAAGGTGACAGAGATCCCAAGTGTAGCTTTCAAAATGACAAATTAAACACAGTGCAAGGCAGGGTAAATTATACCCAACTTATTTCCACAAGTTTATGCCAGCAAGAGTTTTGGCAGCGGGTATTACTTGATTTGCCGATCCGTGTTCTCTACACACACATGCTGTGGAGGGACTGTTGTCCACTTTTCTGCCTCTATCACCATTGCTTCAGCATCCATCAGTCCAAATCCATAGAGGTGGCTCACTGCAAGACACAAACAGGGCAGTTGCAATTATAGCACAAAATCTTGATATTGATCATAGACTAATTCAAGAGGGTCAAATCCTAAGAGGAACTGCTTATTTTCCATTTTCACTGCTTTGACAAAAAGCTCAAAAATCTTTTTGCCAGGAACAATAATGACTATGTCTAATTTGTTGAATCTGTTCGTAACAAATGACCAACATGAATTATACTGCCTTACCATGACCAAAAGCCCAAACTACAGAATGCCAGTAATACAACTGGCTTAGACTACCCTTGGTCCAAGCGCCTTAATTTAGCCCAGACCTCTTATACAATCTTATGTTAAAAGATGTAAAGAACCAGAGGAATGTTATTTCTGTTATTCAATTACATAGCACATACGTGCACATAAATATTGAAGGTAAATAGACGACAGATTTAGGAAGGAAAAGGCTGCATTTTATTCTGCGGAATGCTCTTAGCTTCCTCATTTTTAAGCAGTATGTGGATGCTATTCTACTCCTGTATGAAGTATGAACCTTGCTGTACAGCCAATCAGATCCAGCCTCTCCCTAAAGTTGCCTGCATGAAAGGGGTAAAAAGCATGACCTAAAGTCCAGTACTTTAAAGGTAATCTGGTTCTCATGTAAAGTCTGTGTCAGGAGGATTCCTTCTTCTGCCTCTTTTTTACGTCTGCAGATAAAGGACAGTGAAGTTACTGCTGGAAAGAACTGTTAACATTGCTGCTGACCTCTGATACTAGCTACTGCATATGCTGCACACGCAGTGGTGTTGAGCAGTAATGCCTGAAGGTTAGCGCTCTGTTAATGCTCATACCTGTATGCTACCTCAACTTTCGTGCTAGGGAGAGCCAACAATGATTCTACTGCAAGAAACTCAATGCCTTTTATGCCTGAATACCTTCTACTAAAAGAAGTAGAAAGTCTTTAAAGCACCAGCTTTCTAGGATACGAAGGATTGAAATTTCAAATGTCCGGCATCCAGACAAGATATTTCCTGCAGACTTGCATCAATTCCTTACTTCTTGCTAATTTTAAGAATATTTAATTTTACATGACTGTTTCAAGCATTCTATTGGCTTACAAAGTCTGAGAAGTTACATTTACTGAATCAGTTGTGTGTTTGGTTTGTTTGTTTGTTTGTATTTATTGTTGTTGCTGGTACAATCAAAACAGAAGCTCAAAAATGTATGCTGATGAATTAGAAAGAGCTGCCAAACACGTTGATTTACTGTGACAAATCAGTGGTCTTAACAAAATCCTGAGAGGAGGTGGTGAAAGAAAAAAGCTATGAGAAGGAAGAGTTTAGATCACAAGTAGCACTGTATTAACACACCAGTTTTACTTGTTACCACAGGCAGAGCTACCAGAAAACCCCTTAGAAAAACATAAGCACTATTTTAATCGGTGATGTGACAAGGCATGGTGTAAGTATTTCCAACTGCACTTTGCAGAGGGTTTGTGAAAGCAGCCTCCATTCACTGCCAAACCAGAATTCAGAGGAGTCTGTCCAAAAACACCCCAACCTTGTCAAAAAAGCAACAGTTCAAAGCATAAAAATAATCAGTGGTTAAGGATCCCATCTTCCAAATATGGCAGTATCTAATACTGTCTGGAACTGCCAGTCGAAGAGGGCTCCTCAATGGAAAATCCTGCAAAGCTGTGTAATGAACTGCTCTTTTTTTTTCACATCTTCTTTCCACTCAACCCCTCACTGAAGTGCAAACAGAAAGGAAATCTTAATTTGGAGGGAACTAAACATAGCTTTTCTGCCAAATGAGGCAGGTACCATTTTCAGAAATGAAACACAAGTACTAAAATATATGCAAATAATTAAACTCAGCCTTCATTCATTCTTCTGAATTCTCTTTAATATTTTTCACAAACAAACTGACAGGGAAGGGGATGTCCTATTTTTATTCTGAGTGGACACATCCCGAAAAAGGGCAAAGAAGGAAGGCTTAAATGGAGAAACTTTGTACTGTGAATAGGGTTTTTGAGATGCCATTCTCCTTGTTCACAGAAATCATCTTGCCAAAACAGCATCTGCTGATCAAAGCATGCTTATCTATGAAGTCATTTATCTGTTTATACACTGTATCCATTGTTCTGCTATTCAAAGTTTTAATTAATAATCACTGTCTTCTCAGAAGAACAGCAAAAGGAATGTTAACTCATGGCCCGTAGACAGTTACTCCATATTAGCACCACAGTGCAGGATTAAATTTTAATGAACGGAAGCATCTTTTGAACTAATGTGTGGAAAATGCATTTTTAATTTCTGAAAGGAAACAACCTGACTGGGTAAGTGCTCAGGATGTCCAACTATAAAACAAAGTGTGTTCCACCATCTGTAGGTCTGAAAAGACAGATTTCTCCTCAACTCATCACTGCTTATTCAGAAATGTGGGCAGAGGAGCAGCCTATATTGGCAGGCAGCCTGCTTCTGACTGAAATTTAAAAGTGAAACTGAAATTTCTCATTCCTTGCCCTCATGTGCAAATTTAATAATACAAACAAAATCGTGAGAGTGAACCTTTTACCTTCTACATTTACCTTCTAGAGCATGAAATTGTTACCTGAATTACTTCCAAGATAATAGTCTTCGTTTTTTTTCATTTCTTTCCATTTCATTTCATTTAGGATTATCATGATTCTATGATTAAAATTTACCACCCAAAGTTACAGGGTGGTACATCATTCAATGCCATTCAGTGCTTAAACTCTCTTGCATGAGACCAGAGTTGGGAGTACAAAGTTCTGCACCTGCTGGCTTTTTTTTCACAGTTGAAACAGAAGAACACTTCTTCCCTGAAAAGCTTTCCCATTCAAATCAAAACATCCTGACAGTCAGGGGTGCTTCTAAAGCCTTCCATAGAGGAAGATTCCAGACAGCTGACATTTGGCTGTCTGCGATGTCTGCACTTCAAAGCCCTTGATGCAATGGGTTGGTTAGCAGCTGCAGGTACCATGAGAGGCCCATCATTTTCAAAGACTAAATAACAGCAATTTTGAAACCATCACAGACTTAACAAAAACAGTAGATTCCTCATGTCTCAGAAAAAAAAAAAAAAAAAAAAAAAAAAAAAGAGGAAAAACATTTTGTCTCCTACTGGCTTCAAATTGTATCCCTTCATCTGTGTGCGTGTGCTGGTACTGCCATGAACTCAGTATCAGGATGCTTCCTCCATTAAGACTGACCTTGATTGTCCATCCACACAGGGTCATAAATTTCTTCTGGGAAGCATCCAGAGCTCCCGTTTGTATGCAAATGGTACTGAGTTCACTTCTGTATTTGAAAAGTACTGATGACTGCAGAATGAGATAAGGTGACTGCAAAAGAAAAATGCTCCAGGACCTTAGACTTAAGCGCTCTACATTATCACTGCTGTGATTTAGTACTGGACTTGATTATTGCTTGAATCACTGAGGTGTTAGAAAGGGCACAGGGCTGCTCTGTACAAAAACATTTTCCTTTCAGAGATTATAATGGAACATAAAACTGGTGCAGAGTAAGCTGCTGGTTAAGAAACAATTTGTTGCTCTTGCTGAGGTGGAGGGCTGAGAACTGATCTGGTGCTTGAGGTGTCAGTGGGCAGAAATGTCACTGAATCCTCTCCCAACTCATGCAGCAATGTAAACTGACCCTATAAAATTTCTATTTCTGAAAAATCACAGACATACACAGATGTGGGGCAAGTTTCAGACAAAACTTGCCTCCTGAAACACAAAGTAAATATTGAGCTTTAGCTGATCTCTTTACTCTTCTTATCACTGCAGAAAATGAAGTCCATTTATTTATCCCTGGAGCAGTTCCTCTATTAGTGCATCATGAAATCCAGGTCTGTTGGATAGGCTTCCCCAGCTTGTTCACAATCCCTTTTTTTTTGTCTGAATCTGCCATTGAAAATTCAATAACTTTCTTATTTATATACCAAGAAGATGGAAAGCTACCTCAAATCTAAAGGCAGAATTATATGTCCTGCCTGACTTGACTAAGAGAAAAAAGAGTGGCTGGATCTGATAAATCAAAACTCAGCATCATGCAAGCTCCAGGAAACCTCGGCCAAGACACTGAAAATACAGTATTTCCTGTTCTTCAGTGCAGCTACACTGGATTTGTTAGGCTGCAGTTTTGTTGTCTGTCATCAACATATCTCCTCAGCTTACATGCTAAACGTCACTTGATATTTTGTTCATCTGATGAGAAACAACACAGAATGTTTTCTCACTGCTCTATTTTTGGCCTTCAATTTTCTACAGTGTGAAAGCAGCACTGGAAATATGAATATTTTTTACACAAATATAAAGTACTTAACCATTGTGAGAGAAATGTCAATGATTTCAGATTTTCCAATGAGGAATTTTCAAATGAGCTGCCCTAAACAAGATTTAGCTCTTTGCCATGCATATTACTGTGATTTGTTCATTTACGCTACCTTAGGATCCTGCTTTCAAAACAAGATCAGATAAGTAAGTGTCTCAAATGCTGTTTATACTTGCCCAGCGAGAACAGAAGTTTGATAGTTCACTGCAAATGTAACACTATAATTCTATATTTCAGTAAGTTTCTGCCACTTGCTTAGTTTATTAGAATGCTTCAAATTGCAAGCAGAAAAGACAATGTGAAGAAAGCAAAGGGACAAAAAAGGAAAAATGCAACAATTGCACACTGCTTAAATTACTAGTACTATATTACTATTAAATTACTATTTTCACAATTACACTATTTTCATTTTGTTTTGTCTTAACTAAGATAGCATTGATCGTGTATGAGAATCCATCTTGTTTCAGCCATAACCCCAGCTCAAAATTCCCTGTTTTGTGTCAATTTATGACCAGTAATGTATGATAATTGGATGTGATTTCTGAAACACGTAACAGCTTTACAAGCCAATAATGCAACTGTGCGACAATATTCTTTTTTATTCTTTGTTGTGAACAAACTCTCATGTGCTCTTTTACATTAAGCACAAGAATTAGAATTTTCTATTTTGT